ATTACTTCAAAGCCCACTTTATCTTATTACTTCAAAGCCCACTTTATCTTACTTAGGACAAACTATAGCAGATGTTTATAATTAGATTAATGAGCATGATGGATTTCATTTGTATTTTTGACATTTTATGAAGCGAAAAGTCATTAAATTCGGAATCTTTCCATGAAACTGCAATGATCAGTGTTAAATTTTTTTTTGTTTTAGCAATGGTATAATAATAATCACTGTTGAGGATATTGGATGTTTATTTAGGAAAGCATGCTTTTTGCAGGTACAAATTATTTCTGCTTCGTAAAATGGATGGATGACGAAAAGTTTTCAACTTTTAATAAGTTAGCAGATTGACTTGAATCATTCCTGCAAATCTTAGCTTTCAACATTCCTTTTATATTGACAAGAATATTAGCCGCTCGGATTACTTCGAAATCAGATGTAAAAGAGAACAGTGATATCATACGATACTATCAGTAAAAGAATATCACTTTAGAAATAATCATTCTTCTATCCATTGTTGCAACTATGGATGTCATCAGTGATTGTTTTTTCCTTTCCGAATTGTGTCTAAGTTTCATTCTCTTTTCGAATTTTATTTGTCAATTCGTGAAATTTCCAAACTTCAGTGAAATTACTTATAATTAATCAAAATTTTTTAAGGAACAACCAAGTTTATCAGTTAATTTATCCATATTTCTAGCTATCTTCAGATGTTCCCATTGTGGAAACGCAGTGATAAGATATAATATTGAAATGAATAAAGCATATTTTGTATTCTGTATAACAATTTTCAAATAGATCAAATGGAAAAGATGAAATGTTCAAAGATTAACTAATTGAATCAAAATTTGACTTTTAAAATTAATTTTGCTCTTCTTGCACAAATATTATCACACTTATGTTTCCTCTTCACTTACGCTTCCTCTTCGTCTATAACTTAAATTTGCATTTGAAAAAGTGAAATATTTCAAGGATATTGTATTAAATATATCCCAATACTAATTAGATTCTCGTACTCATAGTAAGTATTTTAATATTTTGAAAATTGGAATCTATCCACTATAGCTGATTATATCCCGTTCACCGCAATCGATAATACATGAATGGTTTAGAGGGAGCGTAAGAGGGTACGACGTGACAGTCACGTAAGGAGTGCTGTTCCATCGACCAATAAGTACACGTTTCAAATCCAATAGAATGAAATCAAGATGGAGTTATTTCCATCTTTCTTCTACTATCCAGTATATTTTCAATTTGTACTACAAAAATTATTTCTTAAATGAGAATTAACAAAAGAAATCGCATTAATGCTCCTTTGAATGATTCTATTAATATTCCTGTGTCCAGTATATTTGCCTGATAATCGCAATAAAGTGAGAAGGAGGAGGGATCATTAGTAGTCGGTCGTCCGTTCGTTGTAACATATCACGAAAAAAGTTGAAAAGTACGGATACAAAGAATAGTGTGAAGTGATTGCCTATCAAAAAGAAATGGCGGCTTTCGGAGCGCACATTAAGATAAATAACCGTTTTTTCTTTTTCTTTTTCTTTTTTTTTTTTCTTTTTTGATCGTAATCAGCTTACTATTACGACTTGCAGTGAAGTTTTTGTGGAAATTTATTTGATTTGATTTAGTTCGAAATTTCATTGTCTCCCAAACAAACAAAAAAAGACAATAAACCAATAATTCTTTAGGAAAGGTGTCTCAATTTAGACGGAGTAACAAATGCAATGAGTGTTTGAAGAAGTAAAGAAATAATTAAAGTGATTAAATACCCTTAACTTATCAATTGTGAATATTTTCTTGAATGTTTTTCAGTTAACAAAGAAATTACGAATTTGGTAGAACATTCTAATTTGCATTTAGACATTTTGCAGCACTCTGCTGCATTTCGATCTATTCATTCTAATTTCAATTTAAAATGGTTTAATGGGAGTTATGAAGTAAATAAATGGCCTATTCTCTAAATAGTACAACCGGATTATAAAAGACACGCAGTCCAGAATAAAATTAACAACAATAACAAAAAAAGTGACATGTAAACTTCTCGGATGACATCTCTTGCGGCAAACTTTTCAGATGAGATCTCCTAAGACAAACTTTTTGAATGAGATCTCCTAGTAGATAAGTAATAATTCATTTTTGTTTATTGCGAAATATTGCGAAATAAAATCATTAATGATTCTGTCGGAGCGACGGGAGAAAGAGAGAAAGAAAAATTTTTCACTTGTCAAAATGTTTTACCGATCGTCAAAGTTTTTTCTTGAAACTCAACAGTTAATGATGCATACGAATTTCATAATATCATCGGAATTGTAGTAATGACAGTTTTTTTTTTTGTTTTTGACCCTTTTCTTGGTATGATTGATAGCCTAAAACAAATATTGCAGCTCGGTACTGTAATTTCTTTCTAGATTTTGAACCAAATAGTCTAACTTTTCGAAGAAAGATAGATCTCTGAGGATTTCGATAGCATTTGAAAATTAGTCTCAGAGCTGTCAAATACAATGAAAGTATTATAATTGGAGAAGCAGCCAGTATGGAATGGATATGGAAATACAACTCATTCGAACTAACGCATTTTGACTTAATAAATATTTAATTCAGACTTTATTCATTCTAATTTCTATTTAAAATGGCTGAATGAGAGTTATGAAGCGAATAATGGTCACTTTCCTAAATGGTGCGATTTATGAAAGAGAAGTAGATTGGGATGACAACAACAGCAACATCAGCAAAACAACAGGTAAACTTTTCAGATGGGACTTCCTAGAAGGTAGGCAATTTAATGAATTTTATACAATCAGTATTCATTCTATAGAAAGGACGAACAAATTATAAGAGTGAAAGGGAAAAGAAGAAAAAGAGATTTGCACTTATCAAATTATTCTACTGATTATCAGTGAAATAATTTCAATTTCCCCATCATTAAATTCAATCATTTACGGAGGACATGGATTTCACAAAATTCTAATGGTGACGAATTTTTTTTTGATTCCTCTCTGAAAAGGTTATTATCCAATTAAAAAAAGTTGTGAAATAACCTTTACTGTGAATTATTTCTGGATTATGAACTTACTTTAATATTGTGAAAAAAAGATCCATTAAGATTAGGATGATGCAAACAAATATGGGAATAAAAGTCATTTACATTGACTCCTTATATCTTTATGAATTCTTAATTCAAATTAATTATCTTAGAGACAAATAAGATGCACAGCTGACAAGTGAATTTGCTGTAAATGATGTTATTTAGAAGTGTGAGCTACTAATCTTGCCTAACAATATGTAATTCGATATGAGTACGCAAATATGAATGCATCTCCCTTAATTGCCCATCCATCATTTTTCACTGAACGTTTACGCAGGTGCAAATTCAATCGAAAAAACAACACGCTAGAAGGACTTCCTGGATAACTATTCAGTCTCAAGGCCATTGTCCACTATTAGCTTAGTTTACATGTGTCTATAGCTTAGTGTGAAAAATTCTACCATTAACCATTTGAGTGGAAGTGCTTAGATAAATACCACATGTTTTACCTAAGATTACTGTTGTTTTGACATAATTATAAAAGGTCAGATGGATCAGCAATGGTAGCACAGATTAGGTTTAGTGGTAAACAAACGCTTAAATGGCTTTTCAGAAATTTTTTGCAATATTTTGCATATTTTAGAAATTACAGTTCCAACATTTATTTCAATCCTTC